ACTTGCACAAGGCAGGGTATGCCCTTGGGAAAAGTCATGTGTCGTGTATCTGGGGGTGTGGGGTTGGGGGGAGTTCGCCGTCCGGTGTCCTAGCCCTTCCTGTGCAAGCAGATGCTAAAATCCACACACACAAACACCAGTGAAGTACAGTTCTCATTAACCTCCTTTGCCATCCCCTCCCCCCACACCGTACCCAAATACTGCCCACAGCTAGGTGCCCATTACAAGAGTCAGAGTAGCTAAAAGGGGTGAAGATCTATAGATGGAAGGGGATCAGCCTTGGTTTTTCAATGTTGACACCGGGCAATGGGTACATGAAGATTCATGATACTCTTCTCTCTTATTTTGTAAATATTTAAAGGTTTCTGTAATAAACGAGTATACCATAATAAATAAGAGGAAAGAGAAATAGCCAGGTGGGCAGCTGTGTGTGAGCGAGGACATATGGCTTCTCTCTCCAGATTCCTCAGGCGCTCAGAAAAGACCGGCGGCACATCTGGGAGAGCCTCAGAACCACCGACCCTCGATAGCACCTTCTCCCCTCCGAACATGACGGGGACATTACTCATGTCCTTGGTCAGCTGCCTCATTGCCATAAGTCAGGCCAGCCTCATCAATCGCTGTGACTTGGCCAGGGTGCTGCACAAGGAGGACTTGGATGGGTTTGAGGGCTACTCCCTCAATGACTGTGAGTGCTGCTTCACACACTCCCCCTCCCCCATTTCTCCTCCTCCTCTGGTCATGCCCTAGGTGGCCATCTTTCTCCCTGTCATTCATTTTTCAAAGCCGAGTTCAAAAAGGAGCCCTCCCCAAGAAGCCCTTCCCAACATTCCAAATTCAGCCCACAATTATTCGCTGAGCATTTATCATGTACCGGGAACTATTTTCGGTGCTGGGGATGGAGACATCAACAAAGCCCCTTCCTCCATAGTGTTCACATTCTAGGGGGAGAGGCAGACAAGACGCAAACACACAACTATATATGAAGTACTTCCAGTAGTGATAAAGGTTATGCAGAAGAAGAAAGCCGGGGCCGTGATAGGTGATGTTGTCCTAGAAGGGGAAGTCGAGGAGGTGACATTGAGTGGCACTGGTCACCCAGGGTCTGGGGAAGAGTGCTCCAGGCAGAGGGAGCAGACAGTGCAAAGGCTTCATCCTCCTCCATGGTAGGAATAACTCCCTTTTGCCCAGAATTTGTGCACACCGGCCTTGTGCTGTCTTATTTCTCCTTTTATCTTGTTTTGTGGCTTTTTAAGGTAGGTATCTTCATTCTCCTACTATAGGCCCCTTGAAGGCAACATCTACATTTGAGCCAGCTAAGTGTCCCGCACTTGGCTTTGCACAGTTCCTGACACACAGTAGGTGATCATTAAGTGCAGGAAGCATGGATGGACAGATAGGTGATGAGTGGTTGTACTGAGGGGCGGGTGGGTGGGACGAAGGGTGAGGGGAGAAGCACATGGGTGTTTCTAGCCCACTTGCCCCATCCAGCCTCTTAGGCCTTGTTCCTTTCTTCTGCTTCCTGATCTCCCTCTCTCCTCCATCCCACTCCTCCCTCAACTCGGCACCCTCTGAAAACCCTCTGCTCCCTGTTCAAAGGGCTGTGTCTGGCTTTTGTGGAAAGCAAATTCAACATATCAAAGGTAAATGAAAACGCAGACGGCAGCTTTGACTACGGAATCTTCCAGATCGACAGCCACTCCTGGTGCAATGATTACCAAAGTCACTCAGAGAACATCTGCCACGAGGACTGTCAAGGTCTGGCCAGGGCCCCAGGGTGGGAGAGGTGAGAGGGAGGACCAGGCTCTACTCACAGGACTCCTCTTCCCACTCAAAGCCTGGGAATATCCCCAGAGGGACGGCCCCAGGAGTCCATTTCACCCAGCTTTTCATGCAATGGAAATTATTTTGATGCCCATGTTACAGATGAGCAAACTGAGGCTCATAGAACCAGTGCTGAATGCCAGGCTGGTGGCCCTGAAGGCTCAGCTCTAACCATCTAACCACTCACTTTGGCTAATGATCTGATTAAAGGCCAAGTGCAAACTCCCCACCTCAAAGCCACGCCAGGAGGCTCCATAGGTCAATGACTTGGACCTTCTCCCCTTCCTTCATACTCTGATTAATATCCCTGGACTCTTCACCTGAAGAGCCTTTCTCATCAGCCAAGATTACCTGGGTCTCTGTGCTCCTGTTCTGACATTTCCTTTCCCTAGAAATCCTCAAATGTGGGCTGAACCACCATCTACCCTAGTTAGGAAGTACGATGATAAACAGTCGTCCTGCCCCCCCTGCCCTCACCCCCAACACCCCCGACCGCCCTTGGAGGGGTGTCTAAATGGTCCTCTGGAAGGGAGGTCCTCTTGCTTAATCTGGAAGTGCTCAGCCCCCGGGTGGTGCGTGCCAGCGCAGGGACAGCCCGTGTCTGCCTCAGTCTTCGGGGTGGTCCTCTGTGTTCTCACAGGTGCTCGCTCTCTCTCCCTTTCAGACCTACTGAGCCCCAGTCTTCTCTCAACCATCAGCTGTGCAAAGAAGATTGTGTCCGGAGCAGGGGGGATGAAGAACTGGTGAGGAGGACACGGTGGGACGAAGTTAGTGGGCAGAGCCCCAGGAAGGATGTAGTGACAGAGGAAGGCGCACTAGGCAAGGACTAGACCCTTTCACAGTCTAGAAAGATGTGGAAGAGTGGCAGGGCTTGGACTCTGACTTACAGGACCTGGGATCTGGGTCTTTCTCTGATGTATTAAAACTCTTTTGGGGGGCGCCTGGCTCAGTCAGTTAAGCGTCTGACTCCTGATTTTGGCTCAGGTCATGATCTCAGGGTCGTGGGATTGAGCCCTGCATCAGGCCACCCGCTCAGTGGGGAGTCTTCTTGGGATTCTCTCTCCCTCTCCCTCTGCTCCTCTCCTCATTCGTTCTGTCTCTCTCTCGAAAATAAATAAATCTTTTAAAAAATTTAAAAAAAGAAAACTCTTTTAGATGCGGTAACAGAGTAACTTGAGTTAGGTGAGGGAGGTGTATCCTGAGGGCACGAGGTGTCTCACTGAGCGGACGCAGGTGCGGCTGGACTTCAGGAAGAGAGCGCAAGCAGAGCTGGAAACTGTCAGCAAGCTTTTCCTGGCAAGTTCCTGCTTCCTGGTGCATTTGTTTCACCACTTCCTTCATAGAGCAGCATTCTCTGCTCCACATTCCACAAGACTGACTAAGGCTGCCCCCAGTTGATGGGCTAATGTCCTCAGCGGCCACAGAGACTGCCCAGGCTCAGTCCCAGTCCAAGTGCCCGGGATAAAGAATCTGATTGGTTCAGCTTGGACCCAGTGTCCCTGCTTAGTTCAATCAGCTGGAGGCCTGGGAGGCCTGGGAGCAAGTGAGCTATGCCATCACAGTTGCCACAGGGATCCCTCTCCCTGATTGGCAGCAACATTCTTTTTTATTTCTAAGATTTTATTTATTTATTTGAGAGTGAGAGAGCGAGCACACAAGCGGGGGGGAGAAGGAGAGAGAAGACTCTCTGCCGAGCAGGGACTCTGATTTGGGGCTCGGTGTGGGACTCGATCCCAGGACCCTGGGATCATGACCTGAGCCGAAGGCAGACATTTAACCAACTGAGCCACCCAGGCATCCGGGGCAGCAACATTTTCTGTAAATGGTGGATAGCTTCTCAGCTGAGCAGATAACCCAAAGCTGTCAGCTTACCAGTGGTGGACATTGGGATGGTTACTTCACTCTTCTGAATTTCAAACCGGATATCTACAGGATGTAGTGACAGAGGAAGGCACACTAGGCAAGGACTAGACCTTTCTAGTCCTCTCTAGGCGTCTGTGAGGATGGAGGAGTCACGTGCCTTGCCTACTCTAGAAACACCAAGCAGAGGGGACACTGATGACTATTAGGGCTGACCCTTTCTGGAGGGAGAGTCAGTAGTTGTGCCTGAGATTGATTGATTGATTATTTATCTTTTTATTTATTTAGTAAATCTCAGCCTCGTAAAATGGTGATCTCCCACTTCAGAGGGAGATAGGATTTGAAAATGTGGAAGCATACTGAATGGGGGAAGCGGACAAACACCAGAGATAAGGGAAATTTAAAGGAAGAATCAGAGGGGCCACAGGGAATGAAGGAAGTTCTGAGCACTGCTCTGCCTAAGAGACTCACAAAGAGTTGGGCCACGTATGTGGAGAAGGAGCTTACTAAACGGTAAAGCAAGAACCAATCTTTCTCTCCGCAGGGTAGCGTGGAGGTTGCACTGTGCAGGCCGGCCCCTCTCCTACTGGATGACAGGATGCTTCTTGGGATGAGATGGGGGAAGGGCTGCTGTGGAGTCATTTCAGAGTTCCTCTTCTCATTCGGGAATCTTCATTTCCTCTTCCTCTTGCCTCCACTTCGTGTTATTTTCTTTCCTTCCCATTTACAAAGAAAACTGACCAGAGCCCCAGAAATAGATGGTTTTCTCAGGCTTCCTCCTTGCACCCATCTGGGCCTAGGCCTCTGGTTCCTGACTGTCATTGCAAACCAAGAAGACCACAGTGAAGAAGTTGTTATATTTTGGGAATTATTAAAGCATTCCTTGTGCAAAGAATGTGTTGAGTTATTCATTTTTAATTCCAGATATATCTGAATACCTAATCTCGTAGGAGTGTGGTAGGTACTAGAAGAAGGAAAATAAACCATAACTATTATTCCTGAGGTGTTCATAATCTACCCAGAGACATACACAATTAATGGGTACAATGAGTGGATACATACAATGAATACAATGGATAATGAAATGGGTAATATAATCTACAACTTTTGGGTTGAAACAGCATCAGGATCCCAGTTATTCCTCCAAAGCCAACTATATTCAAAGTAAAAGAGAAAGTTCAGAGGTAGGTAATGGGTGGGGCTAAGGGTCTTGGATAGCGAGGTGGAGAAAGTGGTGTTGGGGCCAATAGATGGTGCCAGGTGCCAATGATTTGGGTGGTTTCAGAGAATGGGCTAAAATCTAGATGTTAAAAAAAAAAAGGCATCTCTGTTTGGGATCTGAAGGTGCTGATGTGGACAAAAACCTGCATAAGGACAATGCAAAACAGAAAAGGGGCCGTTGGAGAAATGTCGTGCACATAGCTACCATCAGCACTGTTTGACTAAACTGTCCCACTTGGGCCACGGATGTCCCTACTTCTGAGCCTTAACTTTTAGATCTCACGGACCACTAAACGTCAAAAAAGCTAACACCGTATTAAGATTCCCAACTTTTTATTTTAATACCCAAGTAAATATTAATCAAAACAACTATCGTAAAACAATTTTTAACATGAAAAATGAACGTCATTGGAGCGCCTGGGTGGCTGCGTTGGTTAAGTGTCTGCCTTGGGCTCAGTCATGATCTTGGGGGCTCCTGGGATCGAGTCTCCCATCAGGCTCCCTGCTCAGCAGGGAGTCTGCTTCTCCTTCTCCCTCTACCCCTTCCCCCAGCTTGTGCTCTCTCTCTTGCTTTCTCAAATAAAATATTTTAAAAATAAAAAATAAAAAATAAATTTAAAAAGAAAGAAAAATGAAGGTCATATTTGTAGCAGAATAAAATGGAATAGATTTTGTTTTATGAAAAAAAAATTTTAAACCCTGATTATATTATCCTTTTCTTGTTTTGCCAAGGACTGGTGAAAGCTTCCTAACAGACCAGCACCAGTCTGAAGAGCATTGTTTAGAAACCTCAAGAGATGTTTTGTAAGGTCCCTTCTGGCTCAGGCTTTCTAGAATTAAAATAAGGATCATTAGGACCTGTTTTCCCTCTTAGTGTGTTAGTCCTCAAAATAGCTGACTGGGTGCTTAGAACGGCCCTTTTGCAAGGGCACCATGAACTCCAGTGTTGGTGCCCTACTTGGACTCACTCTGATTTTTTGTACCTCCTTCTCACCCTGCCTGCCAAACTCCCACATCCTCTCATTCCAACAAGCACACTTAAGCAATTCACCAAAATTACGTAGGAAAATCAAGGAACACTTTTTAAGGATTTTTTTTTTACCTTTTTTATTGTTATGTTAATCACCATATATTACATCATTAGTTTTTGGTGCAGTGTTCCATGATTCATTGTTTGTTCATAACACCCAGTGCTCCATGCAGAACGTGCCCTCCTCAATACCCATCACCAGGCTAACCCATCCCCCTACCCCCTCCCCTCTAGAACCCTCAGTTTGTTTTTCAGAGTCCATCATCTCTCATGGTTCGTCTCCCCCTCTGACATACTCCCCTTTTCTTCCTCTCCTGTTATCTTCTTCTTTTTCTTTTTTCTTAAAATATGTTGCGTTATTTGTTTCAGAAGTACAGATCTGTGATTCAACAGTCTTGCACAATTCACAGCGCTCACCGTAGCACATACCCTCCCCAATGTTTTGAAGCCGGCTGCTCTAAAGATGTCCGTACCCTAGGATCCTGTAAGCTCAGCCTTTGGACTCTATCCTAAAAATACACTTAAAGAGAAGCACTAAACACGACTTCGAGGTGGTGGGGCTGCGGGAGGGGAAGTAGTCAGAGACCCGCCCAGAGTGGGAGGGGCCGGGAACAACCCTCGCCCCACTCGTGCTGGGCTGGTCCTGCCCCTCGCACGAGCCCCTTTTTAAAAAGCGCGGGCGCGCCTTGCGCAGGCGCACTGCTACTTGAACTTAGCCGCGCATGCGCAGTGGTGGTAGGATGGC